CTACGCTGTGGGAAGCTCATTACGGATTCCCGCTTCCAGGCGTTAAAAATAATGAGAACTGAGTTAATTCTCGGATAGGAAGTGGATCTCAGACCTCACGTGGTTTCATAATTTTCCAACCAATAATCACAATGACAAAGTCTTTACCCTTTGAAGCCGAGGCTCGCCTAAATAATATCTGACAATTCAGTCCGCGCCGCAAAGAAACTTCTCAAGCTTCGTTTCGACAGGATCAACTCGTTAATGTCGCCGTATATCCTCGATTTTGAGATGCAATCGACTGGAAGACGCAACCCTCATTTAGGGATATGTTTTCAGGAAGAGGAACGCTTAGACGCCTCCAAATAAAAGACGCACAACAATTTCTGAAAATTTAAAAGTAAAAAAAAAAACAGAAATTTTGTAAATTATTCCTGTTGATTCCATAAATACAAAACACAGAAATAATGACTTCTGAAATAGGTTGACCTTCAAAGGGCTAATGAATAAACAATAATTAATATTTTGAGGGAACTAACGACAAAGACAACAAAACATTCCCTCATTACATAAAGTACAAATATTTAAAATAATAACAAAATGTTCTTTTAATACTTAATCCAGCATTTATTGTTGTCACCTCTAACCTCTACCGCTAATGTGCAACAGGCTGTGTGTACCTAGCCACAAAAGCTGGCTGAATAAAACCGAAATCACAACGTTGTAATCAGTATGTACCTAGCCACAAAAGATGGCTGAATGAAACCGAAATCACAACGTTGTAATCAGTTCCCTTAATTTTATTTTAATATAAGGACGCTACAACATGTCCGAAGCTGCCTCTACACATTTACAATGGAACTAATTTTAGCAAACCGAAACACAATGCTGTACGTTTGTTCAAATTCATAAATTAATTAATTAGTCATGTAAAGTCAGCCTGAAATACAGAAAAAAGGGACTGAAATCTGCACTGTTCTTGTACAGGAACGTGGCAGACATTTGTTCTGAAAACAAAACAGGACAATCTATGGCGCATGAAACTGCAATATTGCAGAGTTAAATTGTGGTTTAAATCATGGGCGAGATGATATAAGAAAGGTTAATTGTTTCAGGAGAGTTTATTGGCATAATCAGTCACATCATCTTTGTTCCCACACCGAGGAAATAATATTACTGTTTGGACCGCAGTCATTTAAAAAAAATCGATTTCTTCCCTGCTGTTAATTGACTTTTTCCTTCTTCGCAGATTATCCTTACAGTAAATACCACTTATTATTCATACCTAAAGCTTGACAAAAATATATAGCCGAAAATTTCATAAAAATTACGAATTTTTATATAAATTAATTTTTTTTAGAAAATGTTGAATATTCCATTTAATTGCTTAGAGAATTTTAAAAATTTCAAACAACGTTTTAAGTATTTATAAATTTTAAAAATTTCAAACATTAAATATTATATAAATCTTGAGATTCAAATTTTTTTTGAATTATTGAAATTTCAATTTTTTTTACTTTTTTTTTAAATTTTTAAACCATTTGGAACTCTTTAAGATGTTTGATAATTTTTAAACTTTTCAAAACCGAAAAAAACCTGCAATCCTAATTCAGGTCAGGTTAGAAGAGGTTAGATGTCAACTCTCAGAGGAATGACATGTGACCTCCATTAGAATATAAAAAAAAACCTGTGACTGAATGATTAATTGGTAATTTTTATGTCAATCAAAACCGTATTATAAACTTTGCCACCTGAATAAATACTTGGCCTTCGGGATGGAAGTGGTCAGAGGTCAGAACAGGACTGGAACCAGTCAGGACGGAATCTGTGCATGTTCAGTGCCAGAACGATTTATTAACAGCCTGCACTAACACATAACACAACCGAAGTCTCTCCACTAACAGCCCCACACTAGAAATCCCCTCCCTAATCCACACTCCCCCCCCCCCAGGGCCCTTGTCGGAATAGCATGTCGTTACAACACGGATTTCTAAACACGATTGATTCGGGACTAATCAAATGTAATGGCTAGGACGATTCGGGAGTCTAACAGCTGACGGGGATAAACTGCAGTGCATCCGACAATAGTGAAGGAGGATGAAACGGAAAGCAAGGGAATGCGTCATAGTCCGGGTACTGGAGGTGGACAAAGTGGGCGTCCGATAACAATTTAAACAGTTTCTCGAGTATTTGCGATTGGCATTAACAGAAAGTTGAATCTTCACTCTCGTAAACAAACAATCCGTTCCAATAAAATCTTCTCGGGCAATCAGCTGGTTACCGTAGTAAACCGACGTTTCGGGAACAAACTCCGTCCCCATCTTCAGGGTTCTGACGTGACTGGATCCGAGGAGTTTGTTCCAGAAACGTCGGTTTATTACGGTAACCAGCTGATTGCCCGAGAAGATTTTATTGTTTGTACTCGCCGCGAAAGTCTCAAATCCCAAAACAATCCGTTCGTCCCGAAACCTGCCGCCCCCTCTCGTAGACTAGGCTTATTCGCAAACCAATTCACTTGTTCCCTGTAATATCCTTAGACAACCAGTCGTCAGACAAGAGACACGTCGGAATAAATAAGAAAAATTACCTTGGGCCGATGGCCAAGACAAGCGTGTGTCTGAAATTCATGGAACAGACAACCCCACTCCTTCTCCCCCCATACACCAGATATCGATTGGAAATTAAAGACAATAGAAGATGGATACTGATACGCCAATTCTAGCACTTACTACTTTCATCGGCCATCACGCAGTCCGAGGTCGCCACCAATCACACACCGCGGCTGAGTGGAATCACCACCGAGGTTCAAACTGAAAATACACGAGACAATAACAAGTCTTAGATATCTTTTTCACACTGTTCAAAAATAATATCTGTGCATAACTTTTGAAATACATTTTAAATGCTCAAAGCCTTCAAATTTCAGTGCCCACATCGAAATAATTATGTGACACTTGGCAATGCTTACAGTTAAACCAACTCATTCCTTAATTTAGGAATTTGGAAAAAATACGTTTTAGGGCTAGAAACTAAGTCACTGTCTTTTGGTAATGGGGACTCAGCAAATATGAGAGTCAAAGTGATAGTTAAGGTAAGTGACCTTTAAGGTATCTTATTTTCTGGGTGTATGCGGACTGGGGGGGTCATCTCGAACAGAACAGACCCCAGTTTTTGTTCATCAGTAACGTGGAAAAAGCCTTTCAGTTCCATAAAAGACCAAGATATTAAAATTAAAATTAAAATATTTACGAGGTTTGTTCGTTGTGTTAACGGGTGAAGTAAAGAGACTGAGGTGTAGCCCTGTTTCTAACTGCTGTTTCTGTCCACAGCCGGAACCCGGGAGAGCGGGGGCCTGAGCCGATACCCCGTCTTGGTTTTCGTGCATGGCGAATCCTACGAGTGGAATTCCGGAAACCCGTACGACGGCAGTGTCTTGGCGAGCTACGGAGGAGTCGTTGTGGTCACCATCAACTACAGGCTGGGCGTTCTAGGTGAGTAGCGAGCCTCTGCGGTCTGCATCAAACTCAGATCCTTTGCAAGGAATCCGCTTACTCGAAGTGTCGGCCGCGTTTCATATTGTTTACCGCTAATTCCGTCGTTAAAACATCTAGACTTCTTAGTTTTCTCTTTTCCAGCATTCAAGAATAAGCATCTTTCAATTCGGAATTGTTCTGACATCGCTAATCTTTTAAGCATTTGGTAGGATTCATCTGAAATAGATGAGGCTTGTATCTGCACAGGATAATTCGACCTGTCCTGAACTCTACGGTCCTATAACCAGACTGTGAAAACACTAACACACGAGAGGAAATTTACGAGAAGCTTCTAAAAGAATTTACTACACTTTCTTTATGTGCAAAGGTGTTTGGGATACTTAAAATTTGTAGCGTTTTTCCTCCAAAATTTAAGCATCTTTAATTCTCCTGCCAAAATTTCAAAATTACGAACAGAAGCCAATACACTACAGTCACACACTAAGTGCCATTAACGTAATAAAAATGTAAATTTAAACAATTTCCACGCGATTACAAAAGGGCGTCGACCAGTGTACCTATTCCCAAGAAAGGTCACGTTCTTCAACATATGAACGCTGCATTCCATGTATACACCTTTTAACGTAATCTACAAATGACATCTAAAGGTTAATGACGTCATCATTGGCCATGATGTCATTACGCATGCGCTGAAGGTTACAGGCTACGTCTTTATTATCGTCTCATCTCCCTATTATGCACATTCGTTACGTTGGTATTACCATCTGTACGAAATTAAAATATAAGATTTTGTAATATCATCAACACAGCATAATGTCCATAACAAATGTTATTAAAATCCTTCAGCCACTCTCGAATTTTCCATAAATGCAGACGGATATCTTAGGAGATGACGTCATAAAGAACGCCGATGATTATGGTCGTCGCTGTCCCATCTGGTATTACCAACTTCAGGAAATTAAAAATTACCGCTTCACAAATCGATTTTGAGTGTTTCAGTTCATGTTACAGCCATTGTACATTTCCGAATCTCTGTAGGACTGTGAGGACGGCAGGAACCTGAGTTCGATTCATGGGAAAGCACAGACATTAAAACATTGTCGTAGAATCTAACTTTCGCCGTGAGGAGTTTGTTGAGGGGCCTTAAGTCGCCTGAACGACCATGTTGATAGATCAGTACGTGCGTCCAATCGACACGGATTCTGGAGTGAAATTCAGAGCAAATGCGAGTGACCTAGCTCTGGGATAGTATGAGAGACTTCCAATGGGTCGAGGAGGGCGAAGAGAAGGGATGAAGGGTGTTTCACAGCTCTGGGATAGTAGGAGAGACTTCCAATGGGGCGAGGAGTGCGAAGAGAAGGGATGAAGGGTGTTTCAACTTCCAGCTACTTGTAGCTTGCCTTCTATAATACTTCACGTCAATATTGGCAAAACGATTTGGAGACTCATTATCAATTGTAGTTGAATTTCCTGGTGACGGCGCGCATGGGCCGGTAGTTGATCGCGGAGCTGGTCACTAGACAGTACAGTCGGAGGAATGATGGGTTTTAGAAAGAGAAGCAACTACAGCCTACACATAAACACATACGCGCGCAATCTCGCGCATTTCCTGCGAGTAAATGCAGGAATCCACAGCAAATAGCAGGATCGGGACCCCCCCCCCTCATTCGGACCCTAGGGATTCCATTCAACATCGCTGCTCAGTGGTGCATCCGGTCCAGTACGTCCTCACAGTAAGACAAGTTGTCTCTCGTTGCTCCGACCTCAATTCACTGTACAAACTTAAAAAAAGGAAAATTACGTGGGAGAACCAAAGAAGCCTAATTTCCTCAGGCATTTCAGGTTTCATTTGTCAGACAAAATCTCAAAGTTTTAGACCGTACCCGCACTTCCGACGTTTTTCCCCGAAAGTCCGATATCTCGTACATCCGTACGCATTGTCTGTTGTGAGATATCAGGTTCTCACGGTGGCGAAAAGTATGAAGATGGTCTCATCCCGTCAAGATACAGTGTTGACGGGGATCGAACCCCGGTTGTACAGCCCTTAGCCTCGTCACTACAATTACTGACGTCGTGGCCTATTTGAATGTTGTATCTCTGACTCGACTAGACAGGCAAACAACGGCCTCGCCAAAATGACTCGACCAAGATTCGAACTGGTTCCCTTGAAAATATATCTCCAGCGGCGATTCCACAAGAATCTGCTCAGAACACAGTGAGATTTTAGGTTAACTCAGGGTGTACATTAGTAGGATATTATTAAAATGGGTTCCAATTGGTCTGTGAGTTGAGTGTAACAATTTAGTGACTGTAAGCCACCTTGTCATGAACGTGTGTGTAGTTACGCGAAAAGTGTTGTTACCACATTCCCATAGTTACTCCGCAGGTATGAGAATACGGACTGCAAGATCAGTATTCCGATTAGATTAACCGGATTGGACGAGCCATAACTCGGTTAACCTCAGATTTAACCTGTTGTGAAGTTTTCATCTCCAAAGAGATCGGGTCTGTTGATAATATTATGCAAGTTAAACAGAAGACAGCTTACACCTTCGGGTCATACCAAAGAACTTCGGATAGAAGCACCACCTACTTCACATTTTAGATGTAACCTGACCTCACTGTAACCTTGGATACGCGGCTTCTGTGGAACAAGAGTGGTCCAAAGAATGTCCAGTGACTAACTCAAGTCGTTGCAATTTGCTTTCGGATTACAGCATCGGCCTTATTAAGCAAAAGTTAGTAAATGTACGCACAGTGCGACAATTCTTTGGCCTACGCTAAGATTTGACTCTTGTCAGATAAAATACTAGAAGAAAACTGTTCTTAGCTCGGCAAACATTGAAAAGGGACACAAATTGCGCATTAATATTTCCGTTTTTATTTCTTAACTGCTCCGATAAGTTTGCATCACGAAAATGCTTTTACGCAAGATGCTTGTTAAAATTGACACAGCATCATTTTACCTCGAGTTGTTCGTCCAATAATCACATTCATAACAATTCATTATATCTTTCCTAATCCCTCGAAATTTGACATTTGTTAATAGCCGGACTGCGTTAGCCTCGTATTTCTAAGCCTTTTAAAAATCACGTCTAAATCCCACAAAATGTCACTGACATTTACTTTTGTGGTGAATGTCGTACTTGACTGGTTGGGTGCTGACGTCATCAATGAGGATCTTAATCCGTCACGTTGGTATTAGCAGTTGCGGGAAATTAAAAATTTTCAAGTTTCGAGAAGCTTTCAGTGGCATAAATTCCATCCCAAATTTAATGAAAATTCGTTCAGTCTTTTCCGAGTTTATATATATATATATATATATATATATATATATATATATATGTGTGTGTGTGTG